AGGTCTGTACCTCCCCATCCTGAGGCCTGGGCAGGATGGCCAGGAAGGCAATGCGAGGTGGGCCCTAGCTTGGTGCACCCAGGAGCCAAGGAAAAAGGACAGGAACCAGCCTGGCCAGCAGCACATGGCATCCCCACACCAGATCCACTGCCACGTGTGCCTAGTCGAGGGTGACAGCACAGGGAATGCCTGTGCAGGGCAGCCACGCAAGGCTGAGTGGAGATGGGTGGCGAGGTCAGCCCTGCCTGGCACCGTCTGATCCTACAGTGACATTGTGGGGCTTCCCTGAGCAGGACCCAGATCAGAAAACTTGGGGAGTGCCAGCTGGGCCCCAGACTTCCTGGGGCCTTCCTCCCCACGCTGAAGAGGAAAAGATGGGGCCCTCCCATTCAGCGGCCAGTCCTCTCCAGAAAGGCTGCCTGTCCTGGGCAGCCCAACCAGTACTGCCTGTGCCCAAGGAACCAGGCTGGCCCTTAGGAAGCTTCGTCTAAAACTGGGTGTCAACAAGAAGGCAGCCCGGGCAGCACCTGCCTGTGCCTCTCCCTGCTGGCCGTGCCCCACACCCCGGAGCAGCACCAGCTGCCATTCTGACCTGGAGCCTCCAGGTCAGTGCCACCAGCCAAGCCAACCCTCTGAACAAGGGACAGATGCTCGGGTCAAGACCCATCGGGACAGCAGTGCAGGTAAGATGCTCCCCACCCAGCTTGGAATGCTGCAGAACTGCCACACCCTGGGCCGAAGTGCCCCCGAGCCTCCCCCATCACTTTTACCAGCAAACACTGGTTGTGCCACCATGTGAGCCAACGGCAAAAGTCCTGTGCGGTGGCTGATGATCTGTGGGACGTGACCTTGGGACAAGGAGCTGCTAAAGCCAGTTAGCTCAGAGATCATCACGACAGAGAAAAGGCTCTTCACCGCCCTGACTACTGCAGAGAGAGGAGAGGAGAGGCACTCCTGCTAAGATGCTGGCGTGGGCGAGGCCAGGCATGGAGGGGCATGCTCAGGGAAGGGAAGTGCATAGTCCAGGGGGTGACAGCAGGCCCCCCCATCTGATTGGAAGACGCTACCCCAGTGGGGCGCCCCTGAAAGTACCTCTAAAGCAGACCAAAGCAAACAGCACATGCACACACATACACACTATTCATGTTTACACTCACACACACCTGTGTTCACGCACACATGCACAAGCACACACATGCACACATGCTCACATGTTCATACAAACACACATCGCACACGCACAACGCTCATGCTCACATGTTCACATGCACACGCACACATGTACACACATGCACACACATGCACGCACAGAGCTAAGCACAGCACTGTGACTCCTCACCTCCTTAGCAGAGCAGGCACTGGGTCTGCTCCCCCTAGCAGACGTTTCTGTTGCCAAGGAAGTGCCTATCACAGATTCCACTTCACCATCTTCAACTGGGGGCCTGCTGAGTCCTGTTCACTCCAAACGCCAGGCCTCCGCCAGCGGCCAACAGTTTGGTGTGACTGCCCAGCCGTGGGTGAGTGTGCAAAGGGTCCGAGGTCAGCAGCATAGGGCTTGGAGGCCCCATGCTTACCAGCGCTCCCCCAGACACCCACCTGGAAGAGGGGGTGGGATGTGGCGGAGGGTAGTGGGCAAGGCCCGGGCAGCTAGGCCTCAATCAGGAAGGCCAGCAGTGGGCCCTCACCTGTCCAGACGGGCCCCCTCCTACCAGCATCCGACACCCACCACCTTGTCCGAGCCCTCACCCACAGCACCAGAGGTGGCGAACCTGACGCCCAGCTGCGGGAACCTACTGCGCCATGCCTTGGACGACTGCTGCAGCACGGCCGGGTCAGCTTCCCCACAAAGGCTGCAGGGTGAGGACCACCAGACAGCCGCCAGTGACCAGCCCGCTATGCTGACCAAGGCCCGAGGATCACGACACCACGAAGAGCCATGCCCAAGCCTTTCCTAGGGACTTCCTCCTCCTCACGCTGTCAGCTGTTTCCACCTCCCTGCACCCCCAGGACAGGCAATGGTACTATTCCAAGAGAAGCTGCTGGGGTCTGCCACTCTCAAAGGTCATCAGGTTGCCGGGAGCCAGAGCTTCTCTTGGGATATGGGACCACCAGAAGAACATCAACTTGACAGTCACTCCCTACAACCACTTGGAGTTGAGGTCAGTTCCTAAAGAAGCTTCTCCCCACCATGGGGGATGCTCAGCGGTCCCTCCCACGAGGTCTGCGGTCAGCACAGGAAACGCTTGTCAGCATGGGGGACACTTGGCGGTCTCTCCCACAAGGGCTGCGGTTTGGCCTTAATCCTGAGCGTAGACACCTATCTACCCCCTGCACTCTGCCCCTCACCCTGGGGCAATTACCCAGGGCTGCCCCGAGGGCCGGGTCCTGGGCTCCAAGCTCTGCTGCATGCAGCCCCAGCCCGTGAAAGGCCCAGCTCAGTGCTGGTCCTCCAGAAGCCCCCAGAGAGCTGCCGTCCCCGTCTGTCTGCCTAGGGTCAGAGGATGAGTTCTCAGGGAACATCAGGGAGCCATTCTACTCCTCGTCCCTTCATCTTCCATGAAATTTCCCCGAGGACATGGCTCCCATGGGAACTGGGCCATGAGAAAAGAAGTCAAACTCTGCATTACGGATTCTTCCAGGAAGAAAATCAAAACTGTACGTTTTATTCTCACATTTTTAATCAACGAGGCCAAGGACAAGCGTCCCTGCCGTCTCTTCTTTGCCAAGACAAACACCACTCAGAACTACAGCTGAGGCGACACAGGAGCCAAAGCAAACGGCTGAGCTGCAGCGCAGGGTGACACCGAGCAGGGCCACATCCCGGCCACTCTTGCACAAGTTGCCCCCCCAGGCACAGAGGCAGTGCCGACCCCAGGCAAGATGGAGGACCAGCCGGACCGGCCGCGGTCCACACATGGGCGGCTCTCATGGTGTCCTGACTGTGCCTTGGTGTGCACTGGTTTCTGCCTGGCCAGTGTGCCAAAGCTGCTGGATCTGTGCTGGCTCTGCCGTGGAACTCGGGCTCCCCAGTGACCAGACAAAAAGGTAACCGCGCCAGCACTCGAAGGCTCGGCAGTCAGCCCGCAGGGCGGCAGGAAGAGCACCGCCTCCAAACCCAACCTGCCACGGCGCAGTGCAGGCCGCCCCGAGAGGCCGGGAGCCTGTGCATGGGCCACAGCCCGCAGGCTCCAAAGCCCGCTGTGTCAGCCCCGCAGACCCTAGGTCTCACTGCCATACCTTCCACCGGAGCTCATCAGCCACAGATGGGACCGGCGACCACAGACTCGCCTGTTGAACGTGTGCCCCCAACCCTCCAGGCTGCTTCCAAATGGGCTAAAAGTCCCCAAACACTCAGATCCTGCGTCTCCTCTCACCATCCTGCCGACAGATCTCACTTCAGACGTCCAGATTGCAGCTCCATCTAGGAGAAGCTGCGGAGGGGGAACCCCGCGCCTGACCGCCCAGGTTACAGGAGTTTTATTAAGAAGGACCACGGGATTCCCCAGAACAAAGCCACACCCTGTACCCCTTGGAATTCTTGCCATGGAAGTTCCTGTTTAATGGTTTTGGTGCAGAAGCAGGAAAAACGGGAAAAAAACCACTGTGACGGGCACTTCTCTCCCACTCCCTGCAGTACCGAGCAAATCTAATGGAACTAATGACTAATAATTTAATAAAGCTCCCTCCCCTGAGAGCATGTGCAGAGCAACACGACTACAAACGTATGCCACAGATTCCATCTGACACCAAACAAGAAAACCCCAACGGCTGTTCCTTTTACGCGCTGATTCCTCTTCAGTCTCCGACTGCTGTTTACCGGCAGCTCTAACATGGCTTCAGAACTGACTTAGTCAATGCTGACCCGGCTTCGGGATTCCTCCAGATGACATAGCCGCAACTTTAAAACCTTTATTAAAGCTGTTAGAGTACACTCCGGCCCCTGACTCCAGCTGAAAGCAAAGGCGCCACTCCCGGAGCCTCCCTCTGGCTTTCCAGAGCCTGAGCGAGCTAAAAGGGTTTCACAGGCCACTGGCTAGGGAGGCACAACCACAGCTGTTTAGTACAATTAGAAACTGTTGCTCTGCCAGCGCCTGGCAATCCCATTTAGCGGCCATGAACCAGCAACTGCCATGTAAACACCAACTACCCAAATCTCCCAGCCTACTTCACCTTCAGATACAGTTTCAAAATAAAGCACAGCTTTGTAACAGGCCCGCCGCGGGCCGCCCAGAGCACGAATCTCCCTCGTGAGAAAATGCCCGCCTGGAACCGCAGCGGGCCTTGAGCCACCGGGAGCCTGGCTCTGTTTTGTTGGGGGGGTGGGGGGGGATCCAAACTGAGAAAAATGGATGCTGATGAAGTAGAAACCGAAAAGCCCGTTAACGTGCAAACAAGGCACAGAAATGACCGGGGAGGGGGCTGCGAAGGGGCTTCCCTGGAGCCCGCGGTCCTCAGATGTGACACTGACATTCTACAGAGAACGATGCGAATCCGACTCTCAACACACATGAGAAGCAGAGGCAGGCGCGCCAGCCTCCTACACGATTAGTCTTCTCTCTCCGCGGTTACATAAGACGATGGATTATCTGTCCACCCATCCAACCTGCCCGCGCGCGACCTCCTACCTAGGCCAAGTCCACTAATTCCCGCGAAGGAGTTGTGAAAGGGACGCCTGTTGAGAAAAAAGTGCCCAAGGCTTGCGTAACCACGGCTAGAGGGGCCACCACTGAGCCGCCACGCCGACCGGGGCGCAGGACGACGGGCAGCGGCGGCCTCGGACCCCGGCAGCCCCCGGACGCAGCAGCCCCGCGCCCATGCCCCTGCTCCACTCGGGTCCCAGGACTCCGGAGCGGAGCGCGGAGGGGCGCGCGGGGGCAGCCTGGGGCCGTCGGGGCGGGGGCACCCGCGCCCGCCACCGGTGACCGGCCTCGCCGAGGAGACCCCCGAGGGCCCCGCGGCCGGCCGGGTCGGGCCCCAGCGCGCGGCGGCGGGGCGCTCACCTTGTAGACATTTTCCGTGAGACGGTGCATTTCCTCTGAGCGCGAGAGAGACATGGTGCTGGTCCGGCGGCACCACGGACCAGAGCGGGGGCGCAGGCGGCGGCGGCGGCGGCGGGAGAAAAAGCCAAGACCAGCAGCGAACGGAACCGGACCAAAAGCGAGGAACCCAGGCGGCCGCCGCATTTATAGCGGCCCAGGCCCCGCCCCCCCACGGGCCCCGCCCCCCGTGCTCCCGCCCCCGCCGCGCTCGGATCACCACCCCCGGCCGTCCGCCCCCGCCCAGCCCGCCGCTGCTAGGCAACCTGCAGGCCCCGCCCCCGCGCCGCCCTTCCCATTGGCAGGTTCTGGAGATGGAGAACGGGGCGGGGGCATGGGGTGGGATTTGCGGACCGCTGCCAGGCAGCGATTGGCCAGCAGCACTGCCGATCGCGGGGGAGGAGGCGGAGGCGCGGCGCGGGCTGGGGCCCTGGGAACAGCCTGGGGGGCTCCGGCGACAGCCGGGCTGGGGGCGGGGAGGCGGGGGCGGGTGGCTCGGGAAGATGGGAGCAGAAGCTGGGGGGCGGGGGGCGCGGCCGAGGTGCGTGCGGGCGGTGCTCCGCAAAGTGGAGAGTCTGGGCGGTCGGGCCCTGGGCGCTGCTCCCCCGAAGGGGCCAGGGTCGCGGGCTCAAGCGGGACAGGGGCCTCCCTGGGCGCAGGCCGTGCGGGCATGGTGAAGGATGGGAGAGGCTGGCGCGCTGCCCGGGGTCTGCCCCGACCCGGCACCTTCGGAGGTAAGTCCGCGGGGCAGGCGGCGACCCCCGGGCCGGCCCTTCTGGGGAGGGAGGAGGGTGGACCGGGGAACCGGAGAGGGAGGGCCCCGGGCGAGTGGGGATCCCAGAGACAGATGAAGGCGGAGGGCAAGGGGGGGAGGGTCCTGGGGGGAAGACTTGGAAGAGGACACTGGAGAGGGTTGGATCCTGGAGAGGGGAGGACTCTGGGAGGAGGAGGATGCGGAAGAAGACTCTGGCGGGCGGCCTGGGTGGGGGGGGGGGGGGGGGGGGGGGGGGGGCGGGCGAACTTGACAGGAAGATTCTGGAGAAGGGCGGAGAGAGGATCCTGTGAGGAGGATTGAGGGGAGACCCTCTAGGAAGGAGAGGACCCTCGTGCTGCTGGAAGATCCTCGTGGGAGTGTGAAGTTTCCTTGGGGAGGAGAGGACCCTGTGGAGTGGAAAAAGCTAGGGAGGGAACCTTGTAGATGGGATCAAGAGGTGCTTCCTGGAAGGTTCTGCTGAGGAAGCTGAGCAAGCCGGCACACAGGGTTCCCAGCACAATTCCCTTGGAGAAATATTTGCATAAATTAGACTAACATAGAGGAATTATTTGCTTTACATTGTGAAACACCAGATCTGAGTGTTTCTCTTTGATTAAACCCAACATTCTGTGTTAGCATCCCATTCCTGGACAGTCATTCATTGATCTCCTTAAGCGCAGGTGCCCAGGGAGACATAGACCCACAGACACTGGCAGGTCCCCCAACGGACAGCAGGGGACTAAGACAGGTCCCGAGCTTGCAGACGCTGTGACTGGAGTGGGCCTCACTGCCCATCATGTGGATGCGAAGGGAAGGAAAGCGATATTCAGGAAGGCTTTGCCTTCCTCCCTAACCTTGAGCCTTCCTCCACAGACAGATCTTCTTTGGTTTAATTTCCTTCTGGCTACCGTGCCTGGTTTCTTCCTTTTTCTTTGTTGCTTGCAGTGTTTTAAGGTAGATCCCTGTGTATGTAGTCTCTAGGATTCTTTTGGTTGTGACAGACGACCAGCTCAAACTGGCTCTAACAATGAGGGCATTTATTGGCTGGCATGACTGAAGTCAGGACGGACTTCCTCCCCATCTTTCCCTTTCCTCCAACTGGTGACATCTATTGACCGAGCCAGGTCACAGGCCAACTTGGAGCTGGTTGGTGAAGGGAAAGAGCCACGGCTCATCCAAAGGGATTTGGAGTGGCTGGGATCAGAAGAAGGACAGGTGGAGACCGGCAGGCACAACCCGGTCTCACGGCTCAGGAAGGGCCAGCAGCCTGGGGAGAGTTCTTCTGGGCCATCTGCTCCCATCAGCCATGAAACAGGAGAGAGAGGAGAGGTACCTCTCCAGAGAAGCATCCATGATCCCGAGCCCTACTCCACCTTCTAGAAAGTCCTGCTCGTTGACCGCTTTCCTGTTGCCCAACGAACATGCACATTTGGTAGCGGCCGAGGTGGGGGACCCACTCAAGCTAGTCTCCCTTCCAGGTGGGCTAATGGCTCAGCAGCCTCGTCCTAGGTCCGCTCCTTCCACCTGGCAGCTGGGCAGGAGGTGAACAGCTGGGAGGGAAGCCATCAGTCAGAAAAACATGCACAGAGCATCTGCCGCAAATGAAATGAATGAGCATTGTGCCCTGAAGGACCAAGAAAACGCACCGGGGCTGATGGCAGGCGCAGAGTGGGACGTGGGTGAGGTAGTCGTACTGAGGCATGGAGAACTGAGACGAGAAAGTCAGCACCCTGCTGGCGCTTCCCTGAGCCGCCAGCCTTGTGAGAGGTCTCCAGCCCGGGCATGCAGACCCCTTCAGCCATGAGGAGGAGGTCTGAGCCCCAGGCCAGGAGACCACCTGTGTCCTCTGAGGCCTTTCTTACTGACATGGAAGGCTCTTCAAATGGCATCATCTGGGGTGGCTGTGGGTACCAAGGGTAAGAACCTAGGGCCCAAGCAGTGGACAGGGCTGGCAGTGGGCTGGGTGAGGAGAGGTCAGTGCCAGCTCCCCAGGGCCAGAGGGCACGTGTGTCCTGCCCCCTCGTTATTTCAGAGGTGTGCAGTGCCCTTCATGAACCCCACCTTGTTCCTTCTGCTCTCGACTCTGAGAGTGAGTCGGGAGGCCGTGGGATCCAGCGACTCGCCTGGAGGTTGGCAGTCAGTGCAGCTGGGAAGTCATTGCCCACACTTGAGGTCTGGCCCACCCCTCTCCAAGACCAGCAAGAGGAAGCCATTGTCACAGTGGAGAAGCTTTGCTCTTCCCGCCTTCTCTGCAAAGGACTAGCAGGAGGGCCAGCACTGGCCAAGATGGTTAGCCACCAGCACCCCCAGGCCCAGTGTCCATGCCCCAGGCCCAGGTGTTCTTCTTCCTGCGCTTGGGGCGGGTGGGGAGCAGGTTTCTATAGCCGGGCAGCTCCTCAGGGCTTACTGAGGAAGCGACTCTCCCTGTCACTTCTTTCTTTTTTTTTTTTTTTTTAAGAATTTTCCTTTTCCTTTTTCTCCCCAAAGCCCCCCAGTACATAGTTGTACATTTTTAGTTGTGGGTCCTTCTCGTTGTGGCATGTGGGATGCCGCCTCAGCATGGCCTGATGAGCGGTGCCATGTCCACGCCCAGGATTCGAACCGGCGAAACCCTGGGACACCAAAGCAGAGCGCGCGAACTTAACTACAGGGCCGGCCCCCTCCCTGTCACTTCTGATTGCCCCTCCCATCAAGGTCCCTGCGACCAGGAAGGCGTGTAGCCATGGCGATCTTCAGCACCCTTGCTGGGAACCAGCGGGTCCCCCGCGACTGGCCCTTGAGCATGCAGGGTTCTAAGCCGGGGTTGGAAGTAAGACTGACCACACTGAGCTGTGACAGTGACCCTGGGCCAGCTGGCCCCGGCTTGGGGCAGCCCGGGAGAAAAGGAGTGGAAGCAGTGAGAATGAAAGAACATCTCTTCATCAGCTTATTTTTAGTCACGTTATGTAAGTGGCTTCATCTTAACGTCACGTAGGGAGGGGGGGGTCTCAGATTTAATTACAGGATGACAGCCTTTGCTTTTCAAGCAAGCTGTTCTCCTGGCAAGGCAGGCACAAGGATTTGTGAATTTTTGCTAAACAGAAGGAGCCCTTTCTGAGGTGACCGCCCAGCAAAACTTTGAAGGGTTTTCACTTCCATCTCTCTTTCTGACCAGCCTAACCCCGTTTCGGGGGAGCTTGGCCTAAGGGGTAGTGATTTGTCTCAGATCACAGGGAAATTTCGAGCCTGTCGAGGGAGCTGTCTCCCTCCCCTCCCCTCCCCTCTCCTCCTGGCAGCCTCCCTGTCTCTCCAAGAGGAGGACCCACCCAATCAGAACTCCTCTTCCCTTTCTCCTTCCTGGATTAAAGCACTTGTAAATCTGTAACCAGAAAGTTCCAGAGCAGGAGAGACGGGAGGCGCATCCGGAGTGAGCGGGCCTCCTCCTCCCCACCCTCCCGGCCTTTGCTGCTTCCTCCCTCCACGCCGGGTGCTCTGGGCAACTGGCCTGGGCTGGGGTCACGGGGCAGAACTGTCCACATTGTGTCCAGAGTGCTGTTTCCTGGTTCCTGGCCAGGCCCACATTCTTCACGATCGTCAGCATTATCGGCACGAAGGCGAGGAGGCTCGCGGGCTCAGGGAGTCCTGCCTCCTGCCAGCAGGAAGGCCACCTCTGCGGCCTCAGCACTGCGGCCTGTCCAGTGTCGAGGGCAGAGCCCCAGTTCCTGCCTTGGGTGAGGGCTGGGTGTGCTGTGGAGGGAGTAGCACCATGTGAAGGAGGAGCCAGGCACTGGGACCGCGGCCACCAAAGGCCTGGGGCAGGTTTCACCTCCGAGCCCCCGGTGAGTGGAGGGGGCATGGTACCTGCTGCGGCACGTCGGAGGAGGGGTCAGGCGTAAACAGGGCAGGAAAAGCTCCAAGAACCGCACCTGGCATGTGGCAAGCCCTCAGTATGTTTAAGAGATCATTGTCATTAGCGACCAGATGGGACATTTCTAGGACACACTCAGATGCTACGTAGAAAGGCACGTGAGACGCTGCCCTTTACAAAGTGGGGCCCTTCAGTGCGGCTTCCTTCCGGAGAGCACAGGATGGAAGGGGAGAAAGAGTGGCTTTACGTGGGACACTGACAAGCACACCTCAGCCAGGTGAGCCAGGTCACATCAACAGTGTGAGTCACGGTGACCATATGTAGCCCTGACGTGATGAGAAGGACATTCACCGCTGCGCTCTTCCTCCTCCAAACCCACAAGCCCGCGCCCATCGTGAGAAAGCATCAGACAGATCCCAGCAGAGGGACAGTCTGCAAAGTCCCTGAGCAGCGCCCCTCAAAGCTGTCGCGGTCATTGGGACCAGGAAAGTGTGAGACCATCCCAGTCAAGAGGAGCCTGAGGAGAGGGGACGACTAGATGTGAGGTGGGCTCCTGGATGGGGTCCTGGAGGAGTAAAGAGACACTAGGTAAAAACTAAGGAAACGGAACAAAGTGTGGACTTTCTTTAATAATGATGTATCAGCGTTGGTTCGTCACTTGTAACAAACGCACCACACTAACGTAAGACGTTAACAGCAGAGGAAACCGGGTGTGGGGTATCTTTGCCATAATTATATAAATCTGAAACTGTCCTAAAGGTAGAAGTTTCTTAAAAGCGGGGCACTAGCAACCTTGGCACAAGCCTCTTTTCGCCCTGCAGGTCTGAGGCGAGTGCCTGCTCCTCAGAACCTGGTCCCTGTGGGGTCAGCGGTGGAACAATGGCCCCGTTCCCATGAAGAGCACCCTGGGCTGCCGCGTGGCTTCCATGCAGGAGGCTGGCGCATGGGGCCCCAGCCTGCAGCCGTGGCCCGCTGCCCGTGACGGAGCCTAGAGCCGAAGGAGCAAAGGGGGTGAGGGGTGTGGGCCGGCAGATGCCCCGCTTGCCTGCCACCCCAGATGTGGCTTCTCACCCTCCTTCCCCCCCAGACTTTTACTTAGATTTGCCATTTCCCCCAATCCCTGCTCCCCCTTG